TATTTCAACATTGTGAAGCTATTCACAATATTCGGGCTGTGTTTGTTATAAATTTTTTGTCTTTATTAAAAATGTTAAAATGCAAAATGTAACCATTAAGTATGTTGAAAATTGTTTCCGCTTCGCCTGTTAATGTTGGCAAATAATGCGCATTTATTTATGGGTCGGTATGTGGCGATATTTGCACTCACACTGCATTTACGTCCTATAAGGATTCAAAATTTTTTATTTTATTTTATTTTTTACTCATGATTTAATATTATTTACTATTAATTTTAAGCATTTGCCTGCTTGTCTGCTTTCTTGCTTTAGATATGAACTGGTTGTGGTGGTAGATATTTTCGTTTCCATCTTTAATACAAAAAATTTAAAAAATTTATTGATTATTAGTTTTGATAATGGCTCATTTTTGGCTTGTATACTAAATAGTCATTATTTACCTTTATTAACAGAAAATTTTGTTGCCATAGTCCAAAAAATATTATAACAAATTAGATATTCCGATTTGTTTTGTGGTAATGAAATGCAAATTGGTAAAGCAAACATATTTTTGAATAAATATTTTAATTAGAAAATATTTATTTTTAATGAACTTTCATTAATATTATTTATTTAGATTGTATATATATGATTTTGTATAAATATTTTCAAATGGTTTTGGATTTTTGTGTTCTGTCAGTCAAAAATATTATTTTAAAAAGTTACTAGGTACTGTAGTACCAGGTACGCATTAAATAATTTTAAAATTATTAAAGTGAATAAAAAATTATTTAGACAAGATTATTTAGAGTATTTACTCGGTACTACCAACTGGCGACAGTAACTTGACAGCGGTCAAGGATGTCTAATATCTGTAATAGCCAACTAAGTAGGTAATTAACTGTTTCAAGTTGGCTGAAGATGTAACTAACTACTAAGAAATAATATAATTTGAATAAAATATATATACAAAATTATAAAAAAATATGATTTATCTATCCGAATTATATTTTTTTGCCTACAGAGCGGGCCTAATAGAATGCTAAACAGTTGATGTGACTTTTTGTTCAATTCTCCATACTTTTTTCGTAAGTTATCGTAAGGATATATTTTTTTAAACCTTTTTTCATATTACAATCTTTTAGAAATTTCAATTCCTAAAAGCGGGAACTATAGCTACGAAAACGGTAAAAAACGACACACAGTCATGACAAGTGAGTTGATTGCATTGCATTCATCCTACTGCGTTAGCCTTAAAACATAGGTTAGTTTAGGTTGGAGTGGAAGCCTCGTGTCCAATGTCCATTTGAGTTTAAATAATGGTCTGTTGTGATACCACGAATAAGCCACTACTCATTCATTGGGCCTGCAGGATCATCTTAAAAGCAAAAGTCCGATGATACGCAGCTAAAGTAAATGAGTAACCTGAGTAACAGATCGTGTTCAGATATTGTATTATAACGCTATTATAACCTTACAGGAAAAAAGATATTATAAATTTTAGTCAGTCATGGGTCTTGAAAAACTACTAGAACTACTCGTTCTAAGATTTCATCTTTATCTTAACAATTATTAAAAAACATTTCTCGAAGTAATGCGAAAGCAGTTCCGCGGGGGAGTAAGTCTCGACGAAGAGAGTGCGTACACTATGTATTAATGTTTGGGAGTCGGGCACACCATTTCGACGAAGATGATGCATAAAGCATTCCACCACAAGAAAAAAAAATACTGAAAAACGTTGTCCACAACTTTTAGGTTTAGAAAAAAAAATAGTCTCTGAATGGCTTATATAGATAATAGCGTATATAAAATAATTTATGAAAAGCGGTAGTGGATTAAATTTTTTAATCGTTTCTGTGACATAGTAGAATGAATTATGACCTATTTATGCCTACAGGGTATAAGTTATGTTGGTTGAATTTATATTAGCACCTATTGACAATGGCAATTCGTCATCTACTCTTTTGAGGGGAAGGTGCCAATATAGCTAAAGTCTTTGGCACCTTAAAAAGTATAGTCGTGAGATCCCAAAAGTTTAGTCGCCTCTGAGATGCATATTTATTCGGTATTGTTTAATCACGTTCTTTTTAACTAAAAATTAAAAAATTTCAAATAGCAATCCAACTTAATGTTGAGTTCTAAAATGATATATATATAGCACATATTAATGATATGATATTCATGGGTCTCGTGTGACCTACAGAAATAAGTTGCTTAATTTAGTACATGTAATGTTCAACATTTATTTGAATTTTTGATAGTATTTTTTTTTGTTTTGAGGAAATTTGCTGTCAGCGCAATTTCATATAAGCAAAGTTTTCAGCATATATTTCATCTGCCAATTAAAATAGAAAAATTATATGAAAATATTTCATTTCGCATATGCTTGCATTCATGAATTCCATTTTTAATGATATTTGCGTTGTGAATTCATTTTTCTACGACAATGAAAAACTAATAAAAGATGAGAACTACTAAAAAATTTGCTCGACATTAAGTGCAATTTGTCATATTATGAAAAAATGCAGCTATTTTTAATAATTTTTTTCATTTTTTATTAAAAGAGTTATTTATTCTATTAAGGATGTTTTTGAGGAAGCGCTACTACAGAGAATTTGTCAAAAAAAAAAACACGGCAAATTGCGACAAGACAATTGCATTTGTTGAATGTGGAATAATTTTGTAAAAATATTTAAACAAAATTGAAACAAAATATATGAAAAAGTTTAATATTTTGGAATTTTTTGTTCACAGGCGGAAAATGTGGCAACTCAATTGCTTTGCAGCTATTGTTGCATGTTGAATGCCACAAAATGTAATTAAATTGCTTGCGTGAAATATTTGCGGTATGGATGCAATAATGAAACAATTTAAGATTGATTTTGTCAAATTAACACGGGAATTTAACTGCGATAATCAATTGTTTACAGGGAGCATGATTCATTAAGAAAATCACTGATATATATATACACAAGGTTTTAATCATCCAATGCAATTGATGGCTTAATGAACAATTAATCAGTAGAATTAAATTTATCTACTGGTTGTACTCCTTTAGAAATGCTCAGCAAATATATTGAAGTGCATAGCAAATTGTTTTTGACACTTAATTAAAAATAATTTGTTTAATAAGATTATAAATGAAGAAAATTAATTAATTCAACAATAAAAGAAAGAACAATTATATAAATAATTTTACGTCATTCAAACTAATTAACTTCATTTAATCTAATTTAATTTAATTTAATTCAGTTTGATCTAGTATGATTTAATATATTTAGTTTGATCTATTATTATAATGTTGAAGCTAGTGCAATTGAGCACTTTCACTCTTTCTTAACTCGAGGTATTTTTAAAACCCCTCTTTACGCCTTGACTGGATTATTGTTTATCACTTCATCAGACTAAGCAATAATTGACCTCAGATCTGCACACCTCCCCGAGGAGCCTGTAACTATTCTAAGAATTGATAACGAGATGTTGGTAAGTCTGTCAGTTTTCGCATATAATTTCAGGGCTCTACCCTTTATGTATTTTTTGATCGCAACAATCTTGAGGTACCTGAGGATGTCATTCACCCTAATGTACCATGGTATTTTGAAAAGTCTACTCAGAGCCTGGCTTTGTGTAATTTTTAGCTGACGAATAGTAGTGTTTGAAACTTTGCTAAATGCTACATATCCATATACAAGTGACGGATGAATTATTTGGTTATATATCAGTTTCCTGTTTTTAGCATTGAGATTTGATCTAATTTAATTTAATGTAATGAAATTAATTTGATTTAATTTAATCTAAACAATTTGCTCTATTTTGATTTAATATAATTCAATTTAATTTATTTTAATCTAATTTAATCTAATTTAATTGAATTTAATTTAATATGATTTAATTTATTAATTATTAATAATTTAATCGAACTTAATTTAATCTAATTCAATTTTCTCTAAAGTCATTTAGCATACATACTTTAATATAATCTAATTTGATTTAATCTATTAAAATAAGTTAATATGTTTTTTTTTTTTCAATTACAGGCACGAGTTTAAAGCTTGGACTATAAACTAATTAAGAAATCCGAATCTTTCCTAAGACCACTGATGATGAGTACTTGGTGATACTAGAAACAGCGTTGTATGGTCAGCCAAATTTCAATAAATTAAATAAATTTTTGTCCTTGTCTTTTCTTTACCATTTGAACACGTCTAATATATTCAAATTTATAGATTTATTTATATATTTATATAAATAGATTCAAATTTATTTATATATTTATTAAACATATTATTAAATTTTCACAATGGTAATACCTAATTTTTATCTAATTTACCCTACTCGAAATTCTGGTAAATACCAATATTCGCTGCCATACCGACAAAATTAACTATTTACCTCAATTTATCATCAATTTACTCGTACTCGCACACGGCCTTAACATAGTTCGATACTGTCTAATACTTTGTGTAGTTAGTGTCTGATGTTAGTTACAAGTGTTTTTACAAATGTTACGGTCTAGGAAGCTAATTATAAATTTGTAATGAAACTGTTTATATGAAGCCCATATCACTACTAAATAAAGAAGATATGATTAAATTTCTTAACAAAATTTTTGAAACCATTTTTGACTAAAAAATAAAGATCTCTAATGTTGAGCCTTTTCTGAGTCAGTGCATCTAGGTACTTTTACTTTTTGATGAAACCCCCCAGTTTCTGCAGAGTCCCACCTACATGGGTAGGACTCTATTTGTATATTCCTTATAAGCTTCGTGATTATTCAATTCCGCCCCGTCCGGTTAGTGATTACTCTGTGATTAGATAGTGCTAAATAAGGCAGCCTACTGTTTCTTCTTCATGAAAGCTAAAGCTAATCTTTTAAATGTTTGTTGAAATAATATATCAGAATATTTTTTATTTATTATT